AGATAGAGTTTATTTAGATGCTTAAATAAGATACTGGAGTCTCTCATTTTCCTTAATCACTGAACATCTGTAGTGTAAAGGCAGTGTTTCTCAACCTTGGCAACTCTTAGATGTGTAGACTTCTAACTTCATGCTGGCTGGGGAATTCTGGGAGTTGAAGTCCACACATCTTAGAGTTGCCAAGGTTGAGAAACACTGCTCTAAAGTCTTTCCAGAATTTTATATTTGGTTCACATTTCAAAGCCATGGTATGAGATATTTTTGAGATTGGCTTTGCATCATTTCCTAAGGATCTACTCTAATGCACGTCCCTCCAGGAATAAGCCCCACTGAATATAGTAAGACTTCTCTTATAGTAAGAATGCACAGGATTGCACCAGAAGTTACTTTTCTTGGACAATTAACAATCTGATGCATGCTTATTGGGCCATCTGTGAGAGAGTAGTAAAATGAAAAGTGAAGATGGTGGCTATGACCACACAACTTAAGCCCCACCACTTTTTAATGTGTCACATGCACCATGCACATAAAAAGGGGTGGGGCTTCAATCACATGGTTGTGGCTGCTGCTTCTGCAGGTTTTAGAACTAAGCTGTTCAGCTAATTTCCATCATAAAGTTCAAGGACTCTGCTTTAATTTCTTTTAGCAGTATTAAAATTTGGCTGCAAATCAAATCCAAATCAAATCAATGTCAACTGCAATTGTTCACTACCCAAATCATAATATTTAGAGATTATTTCTAAGATCAATGAACACTAGCCTTCCCAATTCTTGCACCTTCTACATGTTATCAATTGGAACTGAGTGGCTTAAAGTCCCAATATAAGTGGGAGACTCCAGATTAGGAGAGGCTGAGCTAGACAGACCATGGTGTTTACTCACTGCAGAGCTTGAAAATCTAGCACAGTCACCCCCAACTCGGTGATTAGATATATTGGAATGTGAACACCATAATTCACAGTCATGTGATGTCACTGCCTGGGGATGATGGGAATTGTTATCCAACACATCTACAGAGTGCTGGTTGAGGAATGCTCATGCAGTGTAGTGCAACACTAAACTCAACAACTCATGAGCAGCATATTCCAAGTTGTCAAAGGGGGAGGTTTGCTCTCCTTTTACCATCAAAGGGAACCTATTTAAGCTCTTGCTTAGTAAAACAGATCATTCAACTCCTCCAGATCCATTCTTTTGGTTACGAATTATTTAAGAGGCAAAATGCCAACTAATTCCATCTCCCACCACTGAGTCAGGCAATAACAAGAACCCAATAGGTTTCTGTTTTCTTTTGGATAACTACATTTATCTTCATCACTGGAGGGGAATAAAAGCATAATATTTTGTTCTGTTTTTCCTTGCCTTTCTCCCTGTTGATTTACCTTCCTTCCTGGTGAGAATAAAACCATTAAATCAAACCTGTTCATTCTTCCTCTCAACTGTTACGACTCAATTGTGTGACTTTTCTGTTCACCACTGTTAAGAGAGGCTCATAAAATCTCCTTCAAAACCTCTAGAGACAATTTTCCACGTCCTGACATCAAACGGTTTTTAAAATGCAGCCTATTTCTTCTTGGTATCTACAGCTGCAATTCTTTGCATATTTTCTGTGGAATAAATCTCAGTCAACCCATTGGAACACAAAAACAAAAAACAAAAAACCCTCTTGAACCAAATGAAACATTTATAGAATGCCACAAATGGATTCATGCACATTGCTAAGTCGTTTAAACTATAGTTTGCCGAACAATCCAAATGATTGCTAAGCACAGCAACCAACCTTTTCAGGCAGCAAGCACTACCACTCTGTAACTTCACACAATATCAGGTGTATAGAGAAAGGAGTGGGGATGGAATGAGAGAGCAAGAGCAAGCCAACCAGTATTGTGTAGGGTGGCTGAGGTGCTGGACTAGGAGCAGGGAGACCCAGGTTCTAGTCCTTCCTTAGGCACACAGCCAGCTGGGTCACTTTGGGCCAGCGACTTTCAGTCCTAGAGAGGTCAAAAAACATCTCTCTACCAACCTGCACTGGACTGACAGATGATGGTCCACAAACTTCAATGGAATAATCCTTTGTCCTACAGTGGATTAATATGGGCTGAGAATAAACATATGCATATACCGTCACATATTTTAAGTATGAGCATACACAGACACATACAAATCGTATTTAAATACTTTCCTTTTGGCCAGTTCTAATTTTTTTTTTTTTAATTCAACAAATAAAGTGTTTCTCAAGTCGGGCTCTCCTCCTGGTGACTATCTGAATTTAGCAAGAATTCAGAAGTTGTTTTCCCATGGTCTTTTTCCCAGGTGTTTTTTGACTGGATTCCATCCAGATACTAACCAGGCCCAACTCTCCTTAGCTTGTTCAAGCTCAAAGTTGGCAAACGATGAATTAAAAAAAAAAAAGGGGGATCGCTGGGTGCCATCTTACACAATGGTCCCATCAGACCAATAAAATTTGGTTCAGATTTTAAATCAAATTTCAAATTTGTTCAGATTTGCCCACTCAGACATGCCCATAGAGAATTGCATGAAGGAGAGAGGGAGGATGAATTTATTGCTCCCACCCCATCTGTTCTTCCTTGCCCTCTGTACATTAGAGGGTACCTTGGTAGCAAATTAGTTTTCACTTTACTCACTTGGGCTGTCCAATCAACTGAGAGTCTTGATTTGTCAGATTTTTCGAAGCCACAAGTTGGACAACTGCAGGGCAAATCAATATGTAGATATTGAATGGGTGGGATGAATTTATTTTTCTCCATTTCCCTATTCAAATGATTGTAATATTATGTGATGGATAGGGTTTTAACTAACCATTGTTGTTTTGACGAGCTAATTTTTTTCCCTTCACGCTTAGGAATGTTAATATGCTGTTAAGTTACATTCCAAAAGTTTGGAAATTGTCTATCTATAAAAAGCTTTGGATATATCAAGTCTGGACTGTTGTCCTTTTTTTTTTTTTTTGCGTGATTCTGATATATTCCTGGAAGGAGACATCTATAAGATTCTAAACAGTGGCTCAGTGAAATATGTGAGTTCTCAACCTTTGAACTAACTTTCGTAGCAATGAAGAGGCAATATTGGACAATATGATCCTGGGTGGTCCAGGTTTAACACAAAGTTTAAAAACTGATCTGTAACCATTTGAATAAACATCATACAATACTACTACTTTGACTTAATAGAAAAGTACTGATTTTTTCACAATGTTTAGTGTTTTTTATTTTATATTTTTTCATTCCTTTTTTTTTTTTAGTTTGTGCTGTTTAATTTTTTAGGTATATAACTTACTCAAAATGGTTGAAATGAAATGAAGTGTATCAGTTTCGTTCTTAACTATTATTACTTGTATTATTACTAATGCTACTACTATCATTAACTGTATTGGTTCAAAAATTCAATAAAAATTACTATCTTTCAAAAAACAACACTCTTCTTTTTTTTTTCATTTAGTGGCTTTGACAGACTTTTAGATGCTGGAAGTTACTTCTCTGCACCTTTGATATTACTTATTTTCTCTACTTTTTAAAAGTGAAACATAGTTCCCAGCTTTTCTCCATATTATGTACTTGTCAGGATTGTATTACTGTACTACTCTAAATCCTCTCCACTTTCTTTACAACCCCAAACAATATGATCACAGCTTCTGGTCATTGCACTCTACTCAAGGTGCGTGTGTACAACATTCAGTTAATGCAACAGGAATTATCAATTACCGAGAGCAACAAGCATCTTGCGACAACATTCTATCACTGACATCATAATTACAGCACATTTATCATTCATATGTCTTTTTTCAAACAATTACTATATATTTGTTACTCTGACTTTACCTTCCAATAGGTTAAACACTGATCTTTCCTTTACTTGATTTTATTGCATGATATCCAACATTCCAATTATCTGGATCAATTACAATTTTTACCCTTGATCTTCGTTCATATTGGGGTTTATATCATCAACTCTTTGGGGTCAGCACAGTCACCTCTCCTAAGTTGTTATGAAAATATGAACTTGCTTAATAAACTTGAATGAAACATTTCTCTTGTATGCTTGCTGTTACTCTACAACTTACTGCTTCAGAAGAATCAGGGTTCCCCCCACTCAAGTTGTGTATATGCTTTTTTCCATCTTTTTTTCCACCTATTTACAGAGTCCCATGGAACCAAAGATCTGGGCTCGCATCATTTCACTCTTGGCTTTCCCAATAATCCCCCTGCAAGTCCCTCACCAATGAAGAAATGACCACACCATTCATCAAGATGTGTGAAATATGATCTATTTCCTACAGGATTTTAGAAGATAGCTTGACTTATTAAAAAATGGGTATTGCCATCTCCTCCCCATGAACAATATCTTAGAAAAATGTCCCTCAGCCACTTGCCTAGGCTTGCAATACTGTGCTAGTCAAGATTTAATGTCACAGTGAATCCCAATAAATTTGGGCACAAGCTTCAGTTGGAAACCAAGGCAAGCTTAGGATGAGCTTGCAACAGGAAGGTAGCATCTGATGTCTCTTGGCTGTGAACAGTAATGAGATGAAGGGAGAAAGGAAGCAAGACACGAATGTAAGAAGTGCCCCTGCAGACCCGGTGATATCTTCAAGGAAGCAGTCCCAAGGGTCAACTCCAGCACAGTTGCTCAGTCGGAAGAGGTGATGGCTTCTGAGCAGCCTGGTCTATCAAATATTGCATCTCCTAGCACATGAAGTCAAACCCTTGTCTTGAAGAGTATCACAAAGTACGGTATTGACAACCAAAAGTGTCCACTTAATTAAAAAAAAAAAATCAGTGCTCTAGTCCTGAGTTAGGTATGAATCCAGGACTTCCTGCTAATTCCAGAAGATCCTCCAAAGGAGACAGCCAAAAGAACTACCTCTTGGGTCCCCCACATCAGCGTTCCTTTCAGGACTTCCTATGCTACAATATGAGTCAGCTCTGTTTCCTTCTAAAAATGTGCAACTCTTTTTAAAATTGTTGGTTTCTTCGATCTTTCTGGTTAAACTTGACAAACTTGATTAGAAAGAGACGGGGTGAATCAGAGATGGGTTTGTGTTTTTTTTTAAAAAAAGGACAGCATTGAGACAGAAAGAGATGGCGAGGCACTCGAGGTTCCAGTCTATGCATAAAATTCCTCCTGCTTGTCAGGTTTTTGGTATGTGACACTTGCCTGCTTGGGCTCTTCCAGAGTGTAGCTCCCTTCATCTTTCTTTTTCATCCGGTAGATCAAGAGCATCACCAGGAAAGCTGCGAAGAGGGCCCCAACAACCCCTCCCACAATCACAGCTGCAAAGGGACAACAGAAGAAAGTTAGCAAGATCTGTATCTGCTTACCTTTTGTATAAAAAGAAAACTAAAAAATAATTGAATGTTGAAACTCTGAGGATGGATGGATGGATGGATGGATGGATGGATGGATGGATGGATGGATATCAGGAGTGTCTATAGAGGTGGAGATCAAAGAAGTCAACAGTGTGACTGCAACTGCACAGTTGAAGCCCCACCCCCTTTTTAACATGTCACACATATAAAAGGGGGGTGGGTCTTTGATTGCATGGTTGTGCCCACCATCTTGAATTTTTTTATCATCCCACCCCCCACCACAGACACCGCTGACGTATTTTATATTTCATTTGTTATAAAGAAGGAGGTTGATGCTCCCAACCCTATTAGCCTTCCATAAAGTCTGAAAAAAATGATTCTTCCCCCAGGCACTGGACCAGGGCATTAGGTGAGCCTGTTCTGTAAGGGTTATGAGAATGATTGTGGTTGGCCTTGGATGTACACAAGAACATAAGCAGTGCCCTACTGGATTGGACTCCTGGCTCATTTTAGTCCAGCAGCCTTTTGAAAGTGGAATATTGAAATGCATTTGTATTTATGATCAGCAATCACAGAAGTAGCTACAACAACAAAAACAGCACATAAAGCAGGCTAAAACACAGTAAAAGCAAGGTGATACAGAATAAATCAAGCATGGTGGTAGTGGGGAACTTTAGGGAAAATGTGTTTTAAAAACCAACATGAAGAAAACAAAAGTAAAAAGAAAGAAGGACATAAGAAACAAGGGTTGTGGAAAGTTTGATTTATACGTCTGTTTTGTGCTTGCTTAAACTGTGCTTGCTAGGTCTGTTTTGAGAGCAAAACTCTGAGTCAAATCTAGCCTTTGAATCAGATCAGATCAAATCATTGAACTGAATGTCTCTGAATCGATTCTGAATCAGATTGGATTAAAGGTGATCTTCACCCGCAATAAAAATGGTATAGCAATGGGATATTTAGGCTGAACATTATGTACATATGGGAAAATTGCACAGAAAAGCTTTGAGTTAGGGAAAACTGAGAATGGCAGGTGAATGTGGAGTTCTACAGAATCATTTTTTAAAGGAATCTCTAGAAAGTTACCCAATGATGGCTCAAAATATTGCAAGTTTAAGTATGTGAACGTTTTTTTAGCAGTGCATTTCTCCTTCCTCTGCCTTCTTTCCCCCGTGCTATATTCTAGTTTGCAGTGTCAGATAGTCTGGCAGCTGCCTCAGTTACAAGTAATGTGTTTCAAGCAAGATTCTCAGGGTCTTCTTTAATATTTATTGAGGTTAAAGAGATGGGAGGTGGTTACCAAAATTCTAGCCATGGAACTATTTTCTGTTAAGAATCATTGTATCCCCACGTGCGTTAGAGTGGAGACTTTCTGAACTTCTTTCTAACAACCTTCCAGTGATTCAGCGAGGCAGTGGGTCTTTTCATGGATAATGGAGAAGTTTGCAGCTAGCTGTTTACATAATGTCTCTTGAATCTTGATCAGTCAGGGAACTAACCAATACAGTACATGTAAATTCCTCAAGGCAACATTTTGCTTTTAGCGCTCTGGAAAGCCACATCATACACTCTGATGAAAAGAAACCAATCCCTTGGTTCTCAGTGCATTTGAAGTTGCTTTCCACAGTGGCAATTTCATCAAACATGGGTATGGACCCAGACTGGCAATCTGTATACATCTTACCTATGAGTACTTCTTTCCTTTCCAGTATGTTTTTCTGGGGGAGTTGTGCTGCTGAATTTCCAGACTCTATTGTATTGTCTAGGAGCCCTGGTTCCACTTTCTTTTTCAGCCCTGGCCCAGCTGCAGGGGTGACCAGAGGCACAACTTCGTTGCCAAGCTTGGTCTGAGCTGCCTCTTCCTCCTCATGGATTTCAAAATCTCCACTGACAGGAACTTCAAGTTCATTATTCGTAGCTGTGGAAAGGGTCATTTCCTGCAAGAGAGAGGGGAAAAAAAGCACAGAGAAGTCAGGAAGATGAAATAACGCCCCACTTCCTTCAATGCATTTCTTTCCAGCACTTGGTCAGGCTTAGGAGGGAGATGTCACTTGTCCATGGCCAGGGTTGGCCTGAGATAAAGGACAAGACAGACAACTACAGCTTACAAGCTACAGGTGGGGCAAAGGTTTCAACCCACGTTGTTTCACCTCTTTAGGGGATGAAAGAGAAGCCTTGAAGGATGCCCACTGCCCCTTAAAATCTCAAAATGAGGAGGCGGCATTGGGTGTTCAGAAGCAAAATGGATGCCTTCACCCTGTTCATGGGAAGCTACAGGAAGAGGAAAAGGAGGTGAAATGAAAAAATGGTTGTATCCAAGAAAAAGGTATTCCTCCTCCTGCCATGAGTCTAAACAGCCTGTAACTTGGCCATTCTTCTGCTACAAATTTTCCCTTCCCCACCTCACACACACACACACACCTGCCACCCAAAGACTGCACCGCCCGTGGCTACCTAACGTGAGAAGAAAATTTCACCAAGACTTTTTTTTTTCCTGGATCAAGCTTTGCACTTTTGAGAAAACAGACTGACTTCCTTGTATATGGCCTCTTTTCCAATTTATCTTCCCTGGGTTGGTAATGAGGTACATAGCAGGTAGATGACAATTTTCACTAGGGACCGTTTGCTGCCTTTAGGGACAATGGCCAGGAGGGGGAGCTAGAGCCTCATCCCTTTTGAGCTCGCCCCCCCCCCGCCCCCCCCCTCTTTCTCCCTTCCCCCCCCCCCACCCCCACACACCCCCCGGCCCCCCAAAGACTGCACCGCCCGTGGCTACCTAACGTGAGAAGAAAATTTCACCAAGACTTTTTTTT